CTCTCTCTCTCTCTCTCTCTCTCCATGTGTGTACTCCCATCTATCATAACTATCTATCTCTGTCCCTCTTTCCTATGAGGGTATAGTGTAACTTTCAATGTTATTATCTTAGCCTCTTGTGTGTATACTACAAAAGGTGATCACTGGACACTAAGATCTTCCCAATAGATGCATTTTCTCTCATTGATGTGATGAGACTCGTTGCTAAATTTTTATGGCTGTGTTATCTGTGCAAATTGCCCTTTCATTTGAGAGAAAATGCCTATTTTTATATAAAGAGATTTAGGTAATTGATCATATTATATTGTAGAAACCTACCAATTATCTCCTTTTTTAACCATATTCTTGATCGGTTAAAGTCTGCATGGCATAAAAAACCAAGACAGTCTTTGAAAATAAACTTTTTAAAATTAATAATTAGATTGCTCTGGATATTTAGAGTTTTGAAGCAGCAATAATCAGAGCTTCAACTTTTTAAAATGTTTTCTTGTGTTCAGGACAAGTGTGCCTTTGATGATAAATGAAGAAAGGGGCGAGTAAGGATTACGCAATGAAGAATTCTGGTGAAAGAAAGGTTGCTCTTAGTACATTCTGTGAGCATGGATAAAGGTTTTATGGGAGACAAAAATCTGTCATCAACAATGGCTGACCCAGAGAAGCTTTACATGCAAACGCCCTTGGTGCTCTGGGTAAGTATAATGCAAAGCTAAAAACAATGGTGTGTGTCACTGTGTGTGTGTTGTTGTTTTTTTAATTGTGTTTCGAAAAGAGAAACCTTGCAGGACTATTTGGGTTCAGATGGTTGGAGGATTCCACTGGTAGAACTTTTTTCCTTCCTTGTGTGCTGGGTAGGCACTTCTGCTTCACCATTGCTAGCATTAAATTTTAAAGTACATTATTGATATAGAATGAGATTTTTACATTCAAGGAATAGTTGTTTTATCAAAAATCTTTGTCTGTCTGTTTGCTGGGATTTGATTGTTTTTTCCCTACACAAGTAGCTGCTGTCGTGTTGGTAACAGACTATTATTTATTGCTGTTACTGAGCGGCAGTGGCGTGGCTCTCCAAGCGCAAATGGCGCCATGGCGCCACCTTTGAAATGGAGAAAGGATTTTTTTAAAAGGGAATACGATGTTCCAAAACTTAGCAAAATATCACAATATTTTTTTTAAATCAATCTCTTATTCCTAAGTACTCCAGTCTTTAGTTAAGGTGTCTATAATTAGGCTAGTGGTAGGAGGGCGGGTAAGCCTCCTGATGCCAGTCGCAAGAGTCTCCCCGTGTCTTTCGTTCCCTACGTCTGACTTCACCGAGGGCGCCGAACCCAGATCGGTCCAACCTGAACCAGTGTCTCTGCCTGAACCCATCTGGGTGTTCATTGTTTAGGTGTGACGTCTGGTCAAAATAATTCAAAATGATCTATAAACTATTTGATTCAATCTGTTGAAAACAGGGTATTCTTTCCAAGAATAGCAAAAAAGTTTCTTTAATACCCCATCCAGACGTTTGACGGAAGACAAAAGAGATATCACCAAGAACATAACTCAGCTAAAAATACTACAACAGGTACTCCCATCACACTAAGAGATTGTACTGTTGGGCCAAAGGGCCAAGATGGATTTGGCGCCTGTATGGTTGGGAGGGGATGGAGTGTTAGTTAGCCTGGACATGGCCACATGGCATGGTTGTGGACTGTCTAAAAATAGGTTTTATTGTCTGCTTTCTAGAAACCAGAACTGCAAGGAATCATGGAATGGGGTCATTATGTCAAGACGCCCCAAGGGCAATAGTGCCTGCGAGTTCTTGACTGTGAATGTGTGCTTTTCTGTTGATCAGTTGGAAGTTATTGTTTTGTGTGTGTGATTACGATGTGATGTGATTATGCGCATCTTGAGCGCTGAACTCTCTCTCGATCTATATAAAAGATTGTACCAGCACTTATCTATTCTTCTCACATGGAAGTAGGTGTCCCTGTATCAGTATTAACATTAAACGAAGAGGCGTATATAGAAGGTCTACAGTTTATAGGCCTGTAATAAGAAGGCAATACTATTCGTTGTGATGAATTTGTTCTTGGCGCCACCTTCTTTGGAAGTGACGCCTCGCCCCTGCTGAGCGGGAGTTTTCTAAGGAGTGTTGTTGTTTATTCCCCGCCCTATGTTTAGTGTTTTCGTGTGGTTTTGCTTTTTTATGCTTTGTATAAACTGATGATAATCATATTACTGTGCTTTGAATTGAACATTTTATCAGAGTGATTCTTTTTTTAATATAAAACTACAATAATCATACTTTTGACAATTTTGAGTGAATTGAATTAATATCGTTTATAAATATATATATGTAATTAAAATGAAAATTGGGCCATACAAAATGAGTCCACAGAACTAATGCTTTCATCAATGGGTTTGCTTCAAGAATACCCCCCTCTTCTAGTGTCAACGGACTGGCACTTTTAATTTTGATTGATTATGAGAATTACTCTGTTCCTAAATAATGTGAGGCGTGCTGACAAAATGATTTACTTCTCCCAATCCACAAATGGAACTATTGGCCAAAAATTGACATTAGATTAGGGTCAGATTTGTACTTTTTAAGATTTTCTATTGGTGCCATGTTTTTTTCTTTTTTTTCTTTTACCCTATCCATACGCCTGGGGTCATTTTGTACCCCAGGGGTTGTATTCTTCACATGTTAGAATACTTCTAGTGCAAAGATCTATTTGAAACTTTCAGTATTTCTCAAAAATCATTTTGACAAACTGCTATGCAAAGCATACAGATCTGATTAACGAGTAGATTTCCTCTTTGGAAAGTGGTGACCCAGAGTTCCCCACGTTGTATGAATACGATAGTAAAGCACGACGTACGGATTGGGTTAATAGTTAACTATAACCTGTCGGTAATTATTTCATATACTATTTAATAAAGAAGTACTTCACCAATAAGCGTGATGTATCTATTTTCTTAAGGCTTGAATTGTAAGTAATTCATTTTGTCAGCACGCTTCACATGAGCATTTGCCAAAAGGTGGGATACCTGGGTGTGACAAAATATTATTTTGAATATTAACATTGTTTATTTGTTTGTTATATTATAGTCTCACCAATTCCTCTGTACAGAGAGCTAAATTGAATCAAACATTAAAACATTTCTTATTTTAGGTTGAGACATTCAAAGCAAATGATGGGCACCCCTTGGAGTATAGAGATCTTTATGATGGAGTATTTCTCAATGATGTTATGCAACAAATGTGAGTATTCTAATTTTTGCTTTTTTTATAATGATGTCTGTAACCATCTGTCATTTCTTGCAGCAACAATCACTGAACAAGAGTGCATTGAGAGAGAGAGAGAGAGAGAGAGAGAGAGAGAGAGAGAGAGAGAGAGAGAG